AAGATTGCCCTATTCGACAGTTTGCAGGGTTTTAATCGGTACAAATAAGGCCTGGCAGTTACGAGAAAACCAGGGAGCGGGGGTTAGCATGGTCAAGGTGATAAAAACAGTGATCTGAAGGTCCTCAGTGCGTTTTCGCGAGATACGAAGATTTTGTTGCAAATCCGTACGGAGATCGCAGTTTTTCGTACAAAAGGTAAAGCGGAAAGCTTCATTGAGATGTTCTACAGCTCAAACAGCGCCAGACCGAGGCGCAAAGTAGAATGTTACAGCGAAATCCAGCATTCGGAAGTTGTATCAATTCTAAATTAAAAAATACAACTGCATTGTTATGGACAACGAAACCTACTGCCATGAAAATTTTGGATATACGAAAAATTCGATATGTTTCCCATATTTGAACGTATTTCTATTAAATCTGCATCTTTAAATTCTTAATAGGGTGGCAGGATTTCTCAAGACCATCGAAATTTTTCTTTCTTTTTTATTCCTTAATATCTTTGTGCAGTCAGCGTCAAAAATATGAGTACCCTGACGTTTCTTTATTTACATTTTCCATACCAAATTTTTCTTATTGTTTTTTATAAAAATATACATATGTATGTACGTATGTACCCAGCTAGCAAAATATCCGGAAACGTATCCGAAAATGGAAACAATTTCGTATAAAACCCTGGGCTCGAATCGTAGCATCCGTTCACGGATCGAAAACCATACGAAAGAAAATTACGTGATACCGTCAGTCGTATAAGCTGAATGGGATAAAGAGTACGCTCACGTATGTTATAATCCGAAAACGGTGTTTTTACGTGACGAGTAATACGACATCGTATGTGACAATTCGAGCCCTGATGTTTCATCCGTTTTCCGATACCGTATGCGGACGTTTTTCAGATCGATTCTCCCACTAAAGTGTTCAGCCGAAACGTATGTGTAGAAAACTATCGAAAATGGTTGTAAAACGGATGCGCTTTCGGCTGTTTTCCTGAAATTTGTCTGATTAAATTTTTCATTGAAAACGATTTCATTTCATGAACTTCACAGAAACTTTTTCATAGCTACAGGAAACCAAACCAAAAGCAATTTTAAGATTGAGCAATTATTTCAATTTGAATAAATAATTTTAATATGTTGCTTCTGACGGAATTCGAACCAGGGACCTCCTGAAAGCTAACAAATAGTAGCACACTCCTTTGCACACTCAGCTACTGTCGAATACGTATACATGTTTTCAAATGCTCAGTTTGAACAAATATTTCAAAATTATTTTTTTGAAATATGATGACATTTTTCAGATAAGAAAAATTAACAAATATGGAAATCGTTTTCTGAACGTTTCCGGATACGAAAAATGTACGAAAACTGCACTTTCGGCAAAAAGTACGTTTCTCTGCTGGCTGGGTAGTTTGTCCAACAACAAAAACCAGCACAATAAATTTTTTCAATTTCATATAGAACTCGGGAAAATTCAAGAATACCAAAAAATGTTCAACTCTTCTCTTCAAGTCTATAAAAATTACCGTTGATTTTTGAGAATTTTTTTTTTGTCGGGGGTGTTGCGCATTTCTTTCATATAAAAATATATTTTGTTCATTCGTTATATGGAACAAAATTCGAAATACACTTGACAAAAAAGTTCTCAAAAATCAGAGGTAATTTTTAGAGATGTGAAACCTGCACCTTATTATACTAAAATTTAATGGGCTACAAAACTGCATACCCAAAATTAATCCACACGTCTAATGACAACCTAAAAGCCTATTGAAGAACAAACATTTTAAAGGGCGATATTCACATATATAAAAAGAGACAGCTGATATCTTAGCAGCCATCCTTCATATAAAAATCAAATTTTCGAAAAAGTAAGAAGAATATTTCTAGACACTTTACAAATAAGCAAATATACATTACTAATCAGATTAAAGTTACCATTGGAAGAAAAAGAAGAAAAGTAGGCATTTTATTGCCTAAAGGTAATTTTTTAAACACAGAAATAACGTCCAAAGTTAGTAACTCCCATATCGTTGATTTTAAATTTTCCGCATTTTTTATTTTATATTAATTTCATCATAACAAAATTACTTCGTTAATGTTTTTTCGATAGCAAAAGTGTTTTTTCTTTTTATGCAGTTGGATAAATTAGTTTTTACAAAATAACCTTTGTACCAATTTTTAACCGACTTCACAAAAAAGGGAAGGTTATTAATTCGTCGGATTTTTTTTTGTTTTCTGTTTTTATATGTATGTTACCGCATAACTTTGGACCACGTTAACCGATTTATCTTAATCATATCTTAAATTTTTATATGTGAATTGAAGTCGGTTTTGTTTTTTGTTTAAAAATTACTTGTTTTTTTTTTTAAATTAAAAATAACATCCCAAACTATTTCCCTGGATTTGTTTAAAAAAAAATNAATTGAAGTCGGTTTTGTTTTTTGTTTAAAAATTACTTGTTTTTTTTTTTTAATTAAAAATAACATCCCAAACTATTTCCCTGGATTTGTTTAAAAAAACTGAGCTTATCATATTAGTGAATACTCAGATAACGACTTCTGTTCCTATTTAGCATTTTTAGTCGTATGTTTGTCAAATATTAATGTATAAACTTATGTGCTTCAGTAAATACATATTACCTTAAACAAAAATTTCTAATTAGACCACTCTTACCGCAAAGGAATTTCCGAGTTTGCATCGAATATTAAGCCCTCGTAACAAAGTATCACTGCATAAAGAACAACACAAAACTTTCGTCATTTAGGAAATACTATCTACATATTTAATATATTTTTTCTTATGTTAGTTATTTTAATTGGTTTGAACAAAAAATATTTTTTCGTTTCAATAAACTTAATTTTAATATTCCTTCCAAAGACACACATACACACCCATTGCAAAGCCAAAAGTAACCGAATATATGGACACTAAAATACTGCGTCTTATCTCTACTACGCCTTTAGCATCCCGGCGAATCGAAATTGGTGCTAGTGCTAACAGTTTACTGAGATAAAAAACACTTAAAGATGATTCGTTGATTTCCATGTTTCTTTGTTTTATTTTTTTTTAATTAAAATCAGCGTTGACTATTTTTGATTCATAAACACTTTTATATATTTGCATATATTTCTAAATGTAAGTAGGTTTTTTTTATATATAGAAAGAATATTTTTTTTTCTTTGCCGTCGCCGCTCCAAAATTTTATCTTAAGATCTATGCGTAGGTATGACCAACGATGACCGCTCGCGACGACTTAATTTCGTTAACTGTCGGCAGCAACTTTTGATGTCTGTATTGAGTGAAATTTAAAATTTCGTCAAGTTGATGGTGTTATGCATAAAATTGATATACGACCGAAAGTTATGGTGTGCAAACAATAATAGCCTTACTGTCCGAAAACCACATGCGCTTCGATCGCCACTAATGTGGCAAATATTTAGGCGCAAACAAGCGATTTATTTTTGAGGTAAACAAAGTGCCCATACATCGAAAGGCTAGGCTATTGGGAAAGGCATTTTAGCATATGAGAAACATGGTCGTGTTAACATATATACATACATATGTACATATGTACATGATGCACCCACTAGAAAGTTTCCATACAGAGGTCTTTTTTACAAAAAATGTCTCGTTTATTTTTTGTGAAAGTTTACAATATAAACCATATAATAATAAGTTTCAAAGCTTGTGTAAAATTTAGAAAAAATTCCAAATTTTCAGCAATATTTTAAACATTTTTTTTTATCAGAATTTCTAGAAAATGCTTGGCTACGCAGTTATATATGTAGGCTTTTAAATTTTAGTATAATAATGCGCTACAAAATTCCGTTGGTTTTTTGATACTTTTTTGATGCCGGTGTTTTCTCGATATAAAAAAAGTTCAAACATACTCTAGTAGAAGAGCCGAATAAGGCACGATGAAAATTTGGCAATTTTAAAAAATTTTCTGCAAAATTTTAAACTTATATTTAAACGGTTTATGTTATAGAATGTTCTATATTTTTATAAAAAAATTTTTGAATTTTTTTTATAATTTTATTTTATGAATATTGTAAAAAAAAATCTGTACGAAAACTTTTTCCAGTAGGTGTATGTTTAGATATCTGAATAAATGTTTGCGCATTTATATGAGTCTAATTTATGTACATACAGACTGATGGAAACTTGTTGCAAATAATTATATAGATTGGTATCTAAAATGCTCTCTTAAGCGCACACATGAAAAAGGAACGATTTAAAAGGCAAAACTATTAGATAGCAACATTGTAAATAGTAGTAGTAAATATGCATTCATACTATTCATAGACGGTTTAATTTCATTCAAGAATTTTCATGAATAAAATTCATATATTTGATAAAAGCAAATAGCATGTGGTAAAAGATTGCGTTCTTACATAAATTAATAATCATTTATCATTTCTGCTTGCAACATGTCGTTTGCTAAGCATAGTCCTTTTTATGGAAATTTCCGTGGGAGGCAAATAAATTTCTATTATGTATGTAAATATAATACAACCACCACTCCGTTAAGAAACTAAAATTTTAGATATGACTCTTTGTCAGACAATCTATCCTAACTCAGATGTGCCTATTATTCGTTTCGTTAACTCCACAGGTTAACATGCGACACAAACGCGACGCGCCTGAGTTTGTCTGATAGCGTTGAAAAAAGTCACTTATTACTCCTTTTTTAAAGCAGTGTTAAGGTTTGCGTGGTTTTTTAACACTTTCTCAAGGAGTTGAAGTATCATAACAGTGATGATTTTTTAGAAATTTTTAGAAAATCTTTTATTTTATAACAAATTTTAAATTCTTTTAAATTCAATGGAAAAGCTTTACAAGCATTGTAAAAATACAAACTTTAGAACGTAATTTTCAACCAAATAATAAATTAATTTTACACAGTGCTCGCTTTAAAAATCTCAATCCAATAACCGTCAGGATCTTTGATGAAAGCCAAGCCCTTCATACGTCCATCGTCGGGCTTTTTAACGAATTCCACGCCATGTTCCTCAAAACTGGAAATAAACGTAAGAGACTAACATTATTATATTTTCGAATTTGACGTAAATAAGCGGAAAACTGGCTCCTCATTTTTGTTACGAAATACCAAAAAAATTCGTTATTGTTTAGTCGTTAGCATTGGACCACTTATCTTGAGAAGTTGCTGGTACTTTTGCAAGCTTTTATTTATTTTTTTTTTTACCACCGATTTTTCTCAAATTTTCAGCAACATGTTTTTTCTTGATGCTTTCGAAGATGCATCGCACACAAATTTTGAAAACTCGGTTTTTTTGAATCGGTCTAATGTGCATACATCCATATATGGCTTATGCCCTGGTGAGAGGGNAAATTCAATGGAAAAGCTTTACAAGCATTGTAAAAATACAAACTTTAGAACGTAATTTTCAACCAAATAATAAATTAATTTTACACAGTGCTCGCTTTAAAAATCTCAATCCAATAACCGTCAGGATCTTTGATGAAAGCCAAGCCCTTCATACGTCCATCGTCGGGCTTTTTAACGAATTCCACGCCATGTTCCTCAAAACTGGAAATAAACGTAAGAGACTAACATTATTATATTTTCGAATTTGACGTAAATAAGCGGAAAACTGGCTCCTCATTTTTGTTACGAAATACCAAAAAAATTCGTTATTGTTTAGTCGTTAGCATTGGACCACTTATCTTGAGAAGTTGCTGGTACTTTTGCAAGCTTTTATTTATTTTTTTTTTTACCACCGATTTTTCTCAAATTTTCAGCAACATGTTTGTTCTTGATGCTTTCGAAGATGCATCGCACACAAATTTTGAAAACTCGGTTTTTTTGAATCAGTCTAATGTGCATACATCCATATATGGCTTATGCCCTGGTGAGAGGAATTTCAGTTCGCAAAAGTCTCATTGGTACATCTCGATAAATTTTTTTCTACATGCTCAATACAAATTAAAGCAACTAAATTAGCCATGCTNATAATTACCAAATTGAAGGCGAGCCTTACTGTTACTGATTTATGATAATAATATGACGAAAATCGTTCAGATTATAAACAAATTATTTTAAAATAAAAAAAAATTTTAACAATATTTTTTGTAATTTTCCTATACATATTTGCAATTTTTATATTGTATCCATAAACTTAAGTGAACTAATTAGTGTTTCTAGAAGTTGTGCCTGTTCAGTGTTTCCATACACATTTGCATAAAAAAATTGTTCCACGATGATGGAAAATAATGGCTTTTCTATTAGAGCTACCGAAATCGTTTCAAAATTTGCAAAAATTCGCGAACTATAGCTAATATTAAAAAAGATTAGAATATTTGGAAACAGTCTTTTTGAACAAGACGTGGTCTTCGACTAGTGTGCTGTGGATCACTTGGCGGTCGATGCGCGGGCTCTTACAATTAAAATAAAAGACTAATATTTTGCAGGCTTGTTGTTGACTTCATGATACAATATATTTTCATTATTACCAAGGGATTTGAGAAAAATTAGATTTTCGAAATAAATGCCATGAATGAAATTTATGCCAAATATAAGGTTGCCATAAAAAACTAATTTCCGTAAAAATTGCAGATAGAGAGCATTGAATATAAGCACACGATATATTGAACATTCATATTATATGTACAAACGAAAGCGTGTTTGCATTTGTCATTGAATGACTATTTTATATCCTTATCAGATGTTGCTGAGTGCCAATAAAACACTCCAAATTATCTACATACATATTTACGTATGTATGTATGTGCGCTTACCCCATAAAATAAAGCGAAAATTTGGCTTCAGGAAAATCCAACTTCACCAGTAATGACATACCCAGCACACCGGTGTAGAAAGGTAGCGATTTTCGAGGATCTTTGATGCGATACATTGTTTGTTGGAAGAGGAAGTCCTAGAAGTTTAAGAATATTCATATGTACATGTCATATTTTGTGGTTGAACATGTGAACATAGTACATACATATGTACATATTTGTACATATGTATATGTATATTTATTTATGAACAAATGTTCATATAAGGAAACATGCGTACATACTGGTACATACATACATACATATGTATGTACTATATAAATATTTCCCTCATCTCTGAATTCACTCGATCGCGCCAGGGCGTACCCAAGTATTTTCTTTACCTTAGTAGCAGCATCTGCGGGCTTGCATAATTCCGCCGCCTCCTCGTTGCTCAAACCAGTTGCTTCGGCCATTTTTACTGGCTGTGTTGTTACAAATGTTCTGGAATTGATTGTAGTTGGCAATGGATTAATTGCTGGATTTAATAAGCGGCCGGCAATGGCGCAACGAACACAATGGAACGGAATAATTCCACACAATTGCCGAATGGAATTTGACAGCAAAAATTTGACACTCATTTTCAATGTGATGATTAGCAAGTGTGAACAGCGCTGCCACCTAGCGTTGATTACTAGTAGCATATTAGTAAATTTAGTAGCGTGCTTGTGAGGCTTAGTAGAGTGAGACTTTGAAGAGATATTTTATAACGTAAAATTTTAATTATAAATCATTACCTATGAGATAAATGATAAGTATTTTTTTTTTATTTAGTACGTATAAATAGCCAATTGCACGAAAGCAATTTCAGTGACAAATTACTTTTAGATATAAAAAATATAATTCACGATTTAACGTGTCCGTGAAACTGGTTATAAGTCAAAGAATAAAAGACTTATGCCCGGTTTCACTAATCGATTTTAAAACTTATCAGACTGCTAAAACTTAAAACTACAAGTTTTCCTAACAAAATTGTGTCATTTTAAATTTTAACAAGCTGATAAATTTAAAATAGATTGGTGCAACCGGCCATAAAATAATTAAAACAAAAAGTAAAGTAAAATGAAATATGTATGTGTGTCATTTCCAAACAAAGCGCTAATTTCCACCATCAACAAAGCTGTTTTTTTATTATTGTAAACTATTTTGTTTTTTTTTGCGAACGGTATTTCTTTGATATACTATTTTACCTACTCCATATAAAAATATTTGCCCCCGCTCAGGTTATTCGATATTCAACATGAAAAAAGTTTAAACAAAGAAACAATGAAAAAGGCGGTAACTGTTCGTGAATGACCACCTTAATTTTTATTATTTTATTCTATTTATGCTTGGAAAATTTTGTCAGCATAAATAAACGTGGCTTTCTATTAAAATATTGTCCGCCGGATTTCAATATTCGGATATTCGGACAATCGAATATCTGAATAAAAAATCTGAATATTATACGAATAACAAAAGAACGGATATTAACCGGATAACCGGATTTTATCCGTATACACGAATATCCGAATATACGGATAGGCCCAGCATAGTATCTACTTATTGAATTTGAATTTTTATTTTTAAAACAAATTAAAAAAGTTTAACTTATGCCATTGCAATGCCTGTGTAAATCAGGGATCGAAAGTAACAATTATTTTAATTTATTCTCGTAGCAGCGTTTTTTCCACCGCTTCGAATTCTTTATGATCTAAAAAATTAAATCTATAAAGAAAGGTTAAATTTGATTTTGAATATATTTATAAATTCTAGTACCGGCACAAAGTAAATGCTACCGCTACCAACCGACGCAGTGAAAATAAAGTAAATATTTTAGTTGAAAAACTTTTTTATTTAGGTAATAAGCTCTTATTTAAAAAAAATTTTAGCACTAAACATTTTTCAATATAGTAAAACAAAATTTTTTATACATGGGCAAAAAAAATTTAAATTGAGTTAATGCTGCATTTCCACTAGGTATTAAATGGCATGGATATATGTAGTAATTAAGTTCATTTCCACATGGCATTTTTTAAATGGCACCCATTTGTAGTCATTTCAATACCTAGTGGAAATTCGGCATAAGGAAGAATTTAAATATAGTTTTCCGTTGTTTCGTTTAGTTACATAACCTACCTTTCCTTGCATTCCAACGGCGGCGATTAGCTTAAAGTTACACAGTATAAGCAAATATTAAATAAAACACATCACTCTCTGATTTTATGTTCATTTTTGTTTTGTTCTTATTTATGTAAGTATGTTTGTATTTAAATTACATGTCACTTACTTAATTGTTTTCTTATTAGTATCATTGGTCTTAATATTAGATGAATTTAATTTTAATAAATGTTAAAGGCATTTAATCTGAGGGGGGTGTTTGTAACTTAAAAAATATTTGTTGTTACTGTTGCTTTAATCTAAGCATTTTGTTCATTTTTTAAATTTTTGTTTTAGTTTTTTTCATTTTATTTATGTACTTGATTATATGCGCCGCTTATTTTGAAAGTGCCATAAGTAATTTCAGGCTGTTTGACTGTGGTGATCATTTACCTGTAGCTGAACGCGTCTGTTATTCGTTGAACTTCATCAGCTAATGGTAAACCGTTTTTTTTTTTTTATAGTTTTATGACGGTAGAACGATTTACAGATGCATTCAATTAGAATTAATCCACAAGAGGCGGAAATGACTTATGCCACTTTCAAAATAAACGGCTCATAATTAACCCAGCAGTGCTCACGATTTGCTGCATTTATGAACGAATGAATTTCTATTTCGAAATTCGATTCATTTACGAATGCTGTTTTTCAGAGCCTGCGTTTGTTTTTGGTAACTGCCTTTGTTATGCCGGCATTGCACTGGGCACTAAATTACAAACGATTTATTGACATATTTGGGCATTATAAAAAATTCTAAAAAAAAAAATAAAAAACGATTCAGAATTTAAAAAAAAAAAATCCTTTGACATTATAGTATATTTCTTATGAAAGCAATGTCAAACTCAATCACACTTGTTAAATACATTTTGATCCGTAGGTCTATACAAAATTTTTAAATAGAACAAAGTTCTTGTCATTTCAGTGCCTAGTGCAAATACAGCATAATGTACATTTTTTATAACATGACTAGAAATAAATGTTTCTTAACGCCTAATATTTTTATTTTTTTTTGTTTTTCGAGATGGGCCTATCCATAGTTGTAAACACAATGCTCCATGTTCCCCATAAATAATCCTATTGGCCCAATGACTATTTCGTGTTTCTAGAAAAAATTTTAATCTCAAAAAAAAAAAAATCAAAAAATAAAATTGTTTCGTTAGTAAATTATATATTGTTTTATTAAAACATGGTCATTCGTTTTTGTGCTTGCTTTTACTTTTAGTTACCAAGTCATCTGTCTGATNTTGTGTCGTTAGTAAATTATATATTGTTTTATTAAAACATGGTCATTCGTTTTTGTGCTTGCTTTTACTTTTAGTTACCAAGTCATCTGTCTGATGATTAAGTCATTTGAGAGTACAAAGCGGCATTAGTTACTATTTTTTTTTTTACTTTACATATTTAGTTATTAGTCAAGGCGCATCCACATAAGGTGGTCGCAAGCGCATATACGTAAAAATCCCGCGTATTTTGTTATTCCTTTTTGGTGCATCAGAATGTCAAAACAAAAGAAAATAGAGAGACATTTTCGCCATTTCGTTTTGTTGACATCCTAAAGTTGCGCCATTTCATCTTGGGTTACATTCTGCTATACTAGTGTACTAGAGACAAAAATATCAAACCAGCTGTTCTAGTAACACCACCTTGTATAGATGCGCCTTGTTTTTAGTAACAATTCCTGGCGAAAAAAATTATTGTTTAGTGAAATTTACTTGGAATAACTAATCAATTTTTTTCGGCTTCAATGGGCATTTTAAACTGAAAAATATGAATTATTATTTTTATTTACAAATTGCGAAGTTTATTATGCGTATTTTCGTAACTTTCGGGAACGGTTGTCAAAAAATGGACGACAACTAATGGACAGTGCAAATTGCAATTAATAAGATTTCACTTAAATAGATGGATGGCATTATAAAATCGTTTATTAGTGTAATACAATTAATATAACTATAGAGTAAAATCAATTGACTCAAAACGCTTTTATTAACAAATTCATATGTCTGCATACATGCGTAGCTTAAGACGGTGTATTTTTTTATATTGACGGTTTGTGATAAGTTGTAGCTCTCTTTACAAAAGCTTAAGCTCAGTTGATTGTTGGACAAATAGAGAAAATCAAGAAAGTGCCGTCTGAACGAAAATTATGTAAAGCACATGCTGTAAAGTAATTTCGAACAAAAAAATTAAAACAAATTAAATCCATCAAAAATTAAGTTTAAAATTGAATTCATATAAATAAAACATTTTCTTATAAGTCACAAACCAAAAAACAATAACTAAAAATATCGACCGTAACCTCACTTTAACAAAAATTTAAATATGCAATTGCACTAATAACTCGAAATTTCTGCGCATATTTCAAAATGTAGAGATTTTTTTTAAATAAATTTGTTCAGTTGTAAAGAATTCTTAGATAGTAGTAGTAGCAATACATATTTAGGGGATTCACAAGATGTTCATCACGTTTTAAGGACTTACAATCAGCGACCGAAAATAATCGTTATTTCGAGAATTTTTATTTTAAAATTATTTAAAATCGTTATTTTTTATTCATATTTTTACGATCATTGTTAATCGTTATTTTATGATTTTTATTTTTCCGATTATTTTTAATAGTTACTTTATGATTTTTATTTTTTCGATAATTTTTTACCGTTATTTTCATTCATATCAAAATTTTGTTGAGCATGCTTTGTATGGAAGAAAATGCATGACACAAAAAAATTTTCAAAAATCAACGGTATTTTGCAGCCACTTGAAACTTGCGTTTTGTTATACTAAAATTTAATGGGCTACGAAACTGCATACCTGAAATTTTTCTAAAAATATTAAATTAACGGAAAATTAATAGGGACACGACATTTTAAAAGATTTTGCCTATTTTCCTTTTAGACTAGAATGAGTTAAAACAAAACACCCCTTTTGTCGCTTAAAAATGTTTATTTCCCAAAGCAATTGTTTCAACACGCGCGTGGTGTCATCTTCAGTTGCTGATATTTAACTAACTAGTATTATAGGATAGCACACCCACCCCTTTGTTGACATGTTTTTTAAATTTGTATAAAATTTTAAAATCAGATTTGCACGTAGAATATGCCACATTTTTATAGAAAGTTAATGAATATCAATCAAACAAAAGAAAACTTTACAAACTGAGGATCAGAAGGGTATGTTATTCAAATGACTGGGAGTTTATATTAAAATAAATAAAAGGACATATTAAAAAAAAAAAGTGTATTGTATATGTAATGAATTTCAATCACCGCTCAAAAAGTCCGTTTGGCAAATTTTGCGCTCTTGAAAGTATGCCTGAAAATAAAAGTTTTTATGGAAAATATTTAAAATAAATTTAGGCGAATCAAAGTTAAAAATTTTTGCGCTAAAAAATTAATATAAATAAATAACCAAAAGAACTTACCTTTGATTAAAATGGAATGAAAGGCAAATAATGAAGAATTGCAAAATAACTAAAAGGCGAATATCAAAATCAAAATTAATGGATTGATGCCACGTTTCACTAATAAATTTTAAATATATCTGATTGTTGAAATTTAAAATAAAAAAATTTTGTTAGGAAATCAAGCCATTATAAATCTTAGCAGTCTGATAATTTTTTAGCGATTGGTGGAACCGAGCATGAAAATATTTAATGTAATAAAATAAATGAAATTTTAAGCAAAAAAACACAACCGACTTCAATTCCCATATAAAAATTTAAGATTGTCGTTAATTTCTTCAAGATCCAATGATCGAATCTAAACCAAATTAGTATGTGACCACCTTTGGGTAACACCTTTCCGTTAAAAAAAAGAAAATCGGTTAACGTGGTCCAAAGTTATGCGGTAACATTCATTAAAAAAATATATATATTTCGACAAATTGATACTCTTGTTTTGGGTAACCAAATCCGTAAGTGGAACCAGCATTTAAATGTTGGCCGATCCATATTTTCGTAACCTAAAATAACTCCACTATTTTATAACCTCAAAATGTACCAAAATAATATATTTTTTAGATTATAATAAAAGGCGAGCTAACTTTTAAATTTTGTATTCAGATTCGAATTTGGCGACACAAAATCTGTAAGTTGATGAGTAGTCTCGTTTGCCGTAAAGTAAAATAATTTTTATGGAGCTTCCTATTTAATTACCATTTGACACAAATGAAACAAACTCCTTCTATGCTCATATAGTATATTGCAATAAACACATAAATGTCCAATGTAACATTTATATGGCTTTTGCGTTTTTATTAATTTTTTCTGTGAATTTTTCAAACTCAAATTAAACGATAATCAATTCAATAGTAAATAATAAACCTAGGACTGTAGCGTGACAGACAAAAAAAAAATTATAATCATTAATAACAATGGATTATTTGCATAAATTTATTAAATTAACTTTTTTAATTTATATAATCTTGCGCTAAAAATTATGTAACAAAACAAATAATGTCTTTATGCGTTTGTTTTTTTTTGTAACAAATTACAAAACAATATCTATTAAGCAGCAGCAAATAGCAAAATGTGTTTAAAAAAATGTACACAACTATTTTAATCTAAATTATGTATAAGGATAAACAGATAAAGTAAAAGTAAGGAGGAGAATCAATTAAAGTTTGGGCGATTGAAAATAACAAAAGAATAGTAGGCAAAAGAAAGAAAATGGACGCTTGGTTCATTTCATAACGAATTCCTAAAAAATACAGCAAGCGAGTTTATTGCGGTTAGCAATTTATTGAACCCAAATTGTTAAAGAAAATATACATATATTGAAGTCTTTCAAACCGAAAAGAGTTGGGACGGACAATTGCATTTCGCAACTGCTTCCAGCTAAAATAAAAAGTACATATCACTAATTTACTAAAATATTGCCAAAATTCAAAAAACTAAATTTTCCGGAGACGAGTTGAAAGTTTTTAATTTGCTCATAAAACGTCGAAAAAGATGCGTAAACGACACAAGATTTTAACACGAAATTTTTATACAATATGAAGTGTGAACAAAAAGTAATTCTGGATCATTTGAGTTATGGCCGTCTGTTAGTAAATCAACGATATGTATTATACGAAAAGTTCAAATTAATTTATATGCAACTCTTGCATTTCGCATGTGTATTTTTAACACTGCCAGTTTTACTATGTTTTAGTATTTATTTTTACAACTTCTATACTACAGTTGAAATGGCAACATTAGTTCTTTAATTTTTTCCTTTGTTGAGTGAATTGCTACGTATGTATTTGCTGTGGCTGCTCAGCGAGCTATGTAACTAGAGTGAGTCATAGAATAATGAAACTGCCTAGAAGTATGCTTAGCAAAAATTGGAATTGCGACAAATAGTTGTTTACTAATAAATTGTGCTTATTCGTTATATGGAAGCAAATACGACAAAAAAAAAATTTTAAATCAACGGAAACCTTTAGCTACTTGAAACTTCCACATTTGACCGTATGAATAAAAACTAAGCAATTGCTTTTTCTTATTTATATGGTCCATTATTACAATAAAATTTGAAGGGCTATAAAACTGCATACTCAAAAATTTGTAGCACCTCTGAGAAAAAAGTTTGAAATTTGGTTGAAAATTTGTTAAATTTTTTTAGTTTTCTGCAAAGTTATAAACTTGAGGTTTGCTAGAGCATGACCTATATTTTAAATGAAAATTCTTAAAAGTAAATAAGTAAACATACTTAAGTGGCAAAAAAATTACGCTTCGAAATGGGGGCCGCTATTGATGTAACCGATACTGTACATACATATAGTTTCCTCATTCAATTTTCGCCTAGAGAATTTTATGAACAATTTTTCAGTTGAAAATGATTCTCGTAAATTTTTTGTTACTTTCGAACCAAAATTTTAAACGGCTAAACAGTTTCATTAGAACTAAACAAACACCCATTTTGCTATTGCATTTACGTTTGTTAATAAATAAGTATAATAATAATAAAAGCCAGTTTTTATATAACAACTAAGAAAATTAAAAAAAAATCAAAAGAATTTAGTTATTTTGAGTATACAAATATTGAACGAAATTTAGTTAAATAAATAGAGAAAATCAAATTTCAAACTATATTTAAAAATTTTACAAGTAAAAACAGCATAAATAACGTTTTGTAGTAATCGGTATGATAAATTTAGAACTGAATATTCACATATTGGTTGCTATTGCTGTAAATCATTGCTCGGTATATCTTTGCGTGTATTTAGAATTTGTGCATTCGAAAGCGTCAAAATACAAAGCATCGGTCTCTTTCATTTCTAAATCGCACTAAAACAAAAATCCAGTTGCCATACAAAATAGGGCCATAACCGTGGTTGCGTACATTTGGCATGACTATCTGCTGAGGTTTAGAAATAAAAGAGATTGATGCTTTGTACTTTGACGTTTTCGAATGCACCCAACAGCGTACTATGTTGGTACTCGCACAATTTGTATTCGGCCACCGTTTAAAATTCCAGCAACTTTGCCAAAAGGTTTATAAAGTTCGTTTTCTGCTATTACACCAACAAATTATGAGGGGTCTTCACACGCCTTTCAATACTTTTCATTAAATGTTAAGCTTGGCAAAATAGTTTTTGATTAATGGCAATAATGGAGAGTCAATGCGCCTATTCTATTAGGATACCATTTTTACACCTTCGACTCTTCCATATTAATTTTTAAGGATTTTTTTTTCTTAAAACTGCATTATAACTATCGTGAATACTTGAAGAAATTTGCTCAATAGTTTAATTTTTTTGCTCGGGTTGTAGGTAATTTATTTGAGCTCCTTTGAATTTCATGTTGTTTCCATTAAACGGATACAATTTAATCGTGAAAAAAATGTAACGGTTCAGCAAAACATACGAGATTCTCTACATTCTTGAAGGCTTTGTAACAGCTTTACGCAGCTTTATTTATAAAGAACATTTTTGTATTTATCTCTAAAATGCAGCTGAGAAACTCAACTCCTTTACGATAGACAAGCTACAGATGTTTCTGGACGACAGATTCATTCAAACTGTCCAATTTTCCGGCAGTATTCATCGGAATTGATTATTCGGTTCTTTGGTAGGAGTTCAAAAAAGATTACGTCCTTCACATCGCTTCGCACTTAGTGCATAACCTTTCTTTGATCAAGTTCTGCTTTGCGCTTAAGGCGCATATGCACGTCGGAACCAAAACCATTGGCTTTCCACTTTGTTGTAAGCACATGGAATTACCAAATATCATAAAAAAAACAAGTGTTCTTCAAGTTTCAATAGACATCGAATTTTTTTGAACCAGTTTTGGCACTGACGTTCATCTAGAGCAGTGCCAGGCAAAATACACACGTACATTTAGCACACATAGCCTGGGGGGCTACTGGCTGTCTGGCGTAAGTTTTCACAGAAGTGAAACAGCAAACACTTGGGCGAAAATTCCAGTTCTTCTTTCAAACAAATGCAATCACTTTTTACTCCACGCATTAGGGGTGTTAAGGCAAAGGCTGGCAAAAAGCACGAAATCTCGTGAAAATTGCGAAAGGTTTTTTGAACTGTCGAAAGATTGTAAGAAATATTTTTGCGGAATAAGGTTTTTTCAACTTAACTATTTTAGTGGCCTCCTCTTCTTCATAAAAATAATCAGCCTTCTCCTGAGTTTCGCCCGAAAACAAATTCAGCCGAAATTTTTTCATCCGCCCGTAAGCGGAAAGAGAAAAGTGAACGATGCCGGGCGAAAATGAAACTCGTGATAAGGCTGAATATTGACAATTCGAAAGCAAATTCCAACGCATATCACACGTGTGCAGCAATCACTTTTTTCCAGATATTTTAAGAGCAGTGAAATTTTATATTCAGTGCTAAAACGTAGTAAACTATAGTGTTAATTAATAATTTTAGGACGAAAACTATAAAAATAAATTACTTGTATACATTTTACAAAATCTCGGTTTTAGCCAACTTTATGTTGCAGTTGTTTTATCGTGCATATTACATATACATACATATAATGGTAATACGCATACATACGGTTGTGTGTACGTATTTTATTAAAGTACGCTTATTTGCCCTTTTATATTTTATTTTTATATTTTTGTTATAAATCTCGTTTCATTAATTTTTCACAATTGCTGATTGCATATTTGCTGTTCATTGTTTTCGTTTACTACGTATTTTTGTTTTGACTTATTCTCACACATTTTTCGTATTAACATACTCCATACTATACTATCTCACTTCATTATTTAACTAAACTTATTTACTTATTTAATAGAAAAATAAATGACAAAAAATTATTTAAATATACAAATTGGCAATTTCATTCGTTTGTATGCATTTTCCATATGTTAATGCTATTTTGCTATGTTTTCAACTATTCTATTTCAATTTTCCCTTTTTTAAGCCTTACGCATTTCCTTCGGCACGCTCTTCAAGTTCCCTTAGTTTTCTATATGCGTATTTTCGTGTTTTGTATTTATTTACTAATTTCAGTTATGCTCATCACTTAAAGCGCTGCTTTTTACAAAAAAAAATTCACATTGTTTTTTTTTTTATTATTTAATTAGTACATACGTACTTAATGTAGCATTATTTAATAAGTTTTCAATTTTACTAGTATTAAATTTTCTTCCCTAACCCTCGTTTCGCCCCCTTCTTACTCTCTTGCACGTTTTCGCGTTTCTTATGCTTATATTACAACAGGAAAATTATAAACAAATTCAGCGATTTGAAGCTTAGCAACAAAAGAGTACAACTTTGTTTTTTTATGCAGGCGATTCATAAATTTAAATTCTCATTAAAACAAAAAATAATTATTATTTTATTTAAAAATAATTATTTTATTTAAAAATTCCTAAAGAAAATTAGTTGCCTAAACTATAAAGAATAATTATATAGCTAGAGTATATGTATAAATACGCTTTAAATAGTACACAACCCACACACAGCTAAATAAACAATTTCAAAAATAAAAACAGCTGCACAATTCTATGTGTATGTAAGTTTCAGTTTTTTTTTCATACTATATGTATGTATGTTTTTGTGTGCAAATGTAGCGCGTATGTACACACATACATATCTCTAGCATGCATGCCCACTAATCATCGTCGTCATCGGAAGAATTTGAGGACAGTTGTAGATCGTTTTGCAGCAGATCACTTGTAAATGCACCATTATTGCTGTTGTGGCTATTCATGTGGTTATTGCTGTTGGACGACGCATAGCCAGACGTGTGTGTATTGCGATTATGTTGTTGTGGCGCAGCTGCAGTCATTGGCGGAAGCGCTGACATTAGATTTGGCAACTGATGCATTTGATGCTGCTGCTGTTGTTGCTGATTGCCAGCGCCAACATCATCATCACTGCTATCGTCTGAGTCACTGCCACTATCACTGCCGCTCGAATCAGAACCAGAACTCGAACTGGATGAGCTGAGGCCGAGAATTTGCTGGAGAAGAGAGGAGGGTTTAAATGATTAGTTTTTTAAGTAGGTACATTTTTACATTTGGTTCAGTGTTTTCTTATGAAAATACAAATTTTCACCAAAATTTCGAACATCTTATTTGTAATGGTATGCAGTTTTAAAGCCGATTCAATTTTACTATAATGAAGTGCAAGTTCCAAGTAGCTACAAATTACCGTTAATTTAAATTTGTTTTGTTTACGGTATCACGCATTTTTCCACACCAAGTGTGTTCGAATTTTTTGTTTAAAAATTACCAAAAATCAACGGTATTTTGTAGCCAGTTGAAGCTTGCACTTTACTAAAATTCATTGGGCTATAAAACTGCATACCAAGAAGTGTTCTAAAATTTGTTTACAATTTTTTTATACATGCCTGTTACGGTATCCGACGGATGCTGTCCGCACGAATAAGATTAGACCAATGCGGATGGCAACCGTCGGTTACCGTAATAGGCATGATAAAATTGGAAATGTAGTATATCGTCACTTGGCGCGCAAGACCTCGTATCCGCCAAGTGCAATACCACGTATAAGATAGTCGGAAACGAGCGAAGAAACACGTCCGTCACGCTAGCTGACCTACTTCTCCAAAAAATGATAAAAATTACTCAGAAATTAGGTGCAATTTAAGGCCCCAAAATTAATTTCGGTGCACACTCGGTTTCCGAGAAATTCGTGACGTCACGCTGGCTGACCCACCCACTAAATTTCGTCGAACACTGGTAAATATTATTCAAGAATTAGGTGTAATTTAAATGTTTTTTAGGGCCACCAAAACTAATTTCGGTGCACACTCGGTTTCCGAAATATTCGGTAGGAAACCGAGTGTGCACCGAAATCAATTTTGGTGACCCTAAATTGCACCTAATTTCTGAATAATATTTACCAAAGGCCGATGAAATTTAGTGGGTGGGTGACGTCACGCTGGCTGACCCAAAACACATTTTTCCGAATTTTTCGGAAACTGAGTGTGCACCGAATTTAATATTGGTGGCGCTAAAGTGCACCTAATTCCTGAATAATATTTACCAGCGTGACGCCACGCTAGCTAACCCACCAACTAAATTTCATCGAAAACTGGTAAATATTATTCAGGAATTAAATGCAATTTAGGTATTTTTTAGGACCATCAAAATTAATTTCGGTGCACGCTCGGCTTCCGAAATATTCGCAAAAATGTGTGACGTCACGCTGGCTGACCCACTCACTAAATTTCGTCCAACACTGGTAAATATTATTCAAAAAGTAAATGCAATTTTGGTGTTTTTAGGGCCACCAAAATTAATTTCCGTGCGCACTCGGTTTCCGAAATATTCGCGAAAATGTGTGACGTCACGCTAGCTGGCCGAACCCACACATTTTCGTCTAACACTGGTAGAAATTTAAGTGTTTTTTAGGGCCACCAAAACTAATTTCGGTACGCAGTTGGTTCCCAAAATATTCGGTAGGAAACCGAGTGTGCACCGAAATTAATTTTGGCGGCCCTAAATTGCACCTAATTCCTGAATAATATTTACCAGTGTTCGAAGAATTTTGTGGGTGGGTCAGCTAGCGTGACGTGACCCAGAACACATTCTTGCGAATAATTCGGAAGCCAAGTGTGCACCGAAATTAATTTTGGTGGTCCTAAACTGCACCTAATTCCTGAATTATATTGACCATAGTTCGACGTAATTTATTGGGTGGGTGGGTGACGTCACGCTAGCTGACCCAAAACACATTTTTGCGGATTTTTCGGAAACCGAGTGTGCACCGAAATTAATTTTGGTGGCCCTAAATTCCACCTAATTCCTGTATAATATTTACCAGTGTTCGACGAAATTTAGTGGGTGAGTCAGCTAGCATGACGCCACGCTGGCTGACCAAAACACGTTTTTGCGAATATATCGGAAACCAAGAGCGCATCGAAATTAATTTTGGTGGCCCTTAATTGCACCCAACTCCTGAATAATATTTACCAGTATTCGACGAAATTTAGTGGGTCGGTCAGCTGGCGAGACGTCACACATTTTTGCGAATATTTCAGAAACCGAGTGTGCACCGAAATTAGTTTTGGTTGGCCTAAAGTGAACCTAATTCGTGAATAATATTTACCAGCGTGACGTCACGCTAGCTGACCCACCCACTAAATTTCTTCGAAAACTGGTAAATATTATTCAGGAATTAAATGCAATTTAGGTGTTTTTTAGGACCACCAAAATTAATTTCGGTGTACACTCGGCTTCCGAAATATTCGCAAATTTTGTGATGTCACGCTGGCTGACCCACCCACAAATTTTCGTCTAACACTGGTAAATAATCAGGAATTAGGTGCAATTTAGGCGTTTTTTAGGGCCACCAAAACTAATTTCGGTGCACAGTCGTTTCCGAAATATTCGGTAGGAAACCGAGTGTGCATCGAAAACACATTTTTGCGAATATTTCGGAAACCAGGAGTGCATCGAAATTAATTTTGGTGGCCCTAAATTGCACCTAATTCCCGAATAATATTTTCTCTACTATAATTATGCAAATAGCCAAAATAATTATCTTTCTATGCCACTTCATACGTGGTATTGCATTTAGCGAATACGAGGTATTGCGCGCCAAGCGACGACATGGTCTTTGTTTTATAACTAGCTAGGCTTGTATAAAAAATATTAAACATTAAGTTAACCAAAGAAATACAGCCGAAACTGGTGAAAATAAGGATAGTCTATTATTTCTGCCACCAGTATATTTTAAAATTTTTGAACTTATTTTTCTGTTAGAACAGTTTAAACAACACAAAAGGCACTCACCTGCTCTAGCTGCGCCGCCGCATTGGCCATTTCATCGTTTGGCGATGCCATGCCTGGCATGTGCTGCTGCTGTTGCATCTGATGCTGCTGTTGCATTATATGATTGCTGCCCGTATGATTGCCCATAGGTAGATTGTTGCTGCTGCTGTGATAGCCAGCAATGCCACCATTGGACAAATGAGCTGAGGATGTGGTGTTTGAGGAGGAAGAGTACATGCGATTGTTGCTTGATTGCTGGTGCTGTTGCTGTTGCTGCTGATAGTGATTGTGCTGTTGTTGCCTTTGTTGTTGCTGTGCAAAGTTTTGCGGCGAGGAAGCTAGTAAGAGAAATAACCATTAATAATTTCCGAATTTACAAAAATGTTAACACTTTTTTTAATTAAAATCTAGTTGTCGACATACTGCGTTGCTCCATGCGATTGTGTTTTGTTTGCTTGCCGCTACGACTATGCGCCGTCGCCGCAGTCGTCGTCGTCGCCGTCGTCGTAGACGCACTTGTCAATGCCGCTGTCGCCGCCGAACTAAGATTATTGTGCCGTTTTTGATTGTTACGATGCGATTGCTTAGACTGCTTTGTCGGAGAGGGTTGTTGATGGTGCTGCTGCTGTTGTTGCTGCTGCATAAGATATTCATGCGCCGAATTATTATGACTCGACGCCGAGGACGATGTGGATATATTCGCCGCATCACTGCCACTACCACAACCACCACCGTGCGTGTGACTATTACCAGCGGCAGAGGACAGACCAAACATGCCATCATCATCGTCATCAAAGATCATTGGAATGCTAGGCAACGTGGCTTGAGTATTGTGCGCGTTCCAGCTGCAAAAATGAATATATATTAACAATATTATGAACGTGCATTCAAATATATATATTTATTTTGGAATACTCACGCCGGAGCTGATTGTGGACTTTTGTGTATGGATGGCGGTGCAGACGGTGAAGCTGACGCGGATGGCGAGTTTCTTGGCTTAAAATCAACTGGGGAAAAACGTGTAAAAAAGTTAATAATTTTTAACAAATCTTAAGTACTTACAATGGATAAAATATATATTTTTAAACTCTTATATTGTGTTAGATTTTGGAATTATTTCAGCAAAGTTTAAATACTTATTTTAACTCACTTATATTATTCCGTCGACTCCCTGTCGACACTTTCGTCTTCGATGAGATGCGCATCGTGCTATTCTCCATTTTTTGCTGAGGTGCTGGCACGTTTGCATTAGCTGCTAACGCACTTGGCTTGTTTGTCATTTCACTCCTGAAAATAAAGTAAAAAAATGGTTAAATAATGGAACGGGCATTATTGGTTGCAATCCCGTACGAATNAAAAAAAAAAAAAAAAAAAAAAAAAAATGATTGAAAACCGTAGTAGAAAGCGTAACAAATTTCTTAAGAACTGCGTACTGCCTTAAGGAAATTTGACTCAAGAAAATTTCTAAGCCATTTCTTGTAAATACGTCATTTTATATGGAGTTTTTGCTTTTCTTGAGAGCTGCATACTGGCCTGTATTTTGGTATACACCCTATGTATATGAATTGATCCAACTCTGATTGCGTTTTCCCCACAAAATTGAAATTTAAAAATAATTCTAAATATTACTAAATGTGCGATATAGTAACTATAGTTCTCACAGGATTGGATTATACGCAGCTAGACTGGGCACACGCCGCCACGACTACTACAAAAGCTGCATGCTTGAGAAGAAACACCATCCAACACCTTCTCTGTCATTCCCCAGCTCAATCAAAACGGAGAGCAAACGCTTTTGGCAGTAATTGCTTGGATGATCTCGATGACGTCAAAGCGATGGATGTTCGAAGCTCAAACATTTTTTTTTTTTTGCTAAGCACCAAGTGGTTTATAGGGGAACGGTGATAAATGCAAACTGGTAAAATTCTTATGTAAATTTCCATTTTGATAGTATTTGGGCGCGAAAATTATCTAAAAATTTTAATCCCGAATATTTTACTTTACTTACCTAGTCTTTTTCACTTGTATATTGTGATTTAATTTCTCGAACGTAATACCACCGGTTTTTCGATCATAAATCAACAAACATTCTTTTGTGTATTTTCTGTGATTTCCCTTATAAACTGTATGAGGCACACCGGAACTTACTGTAAAGAAAAAAAGGTAAACAAGAATGTTAAAAAAAAACAATCATTTTAAAACAGTTTTAGTTTGAAATTCATTAAAAACAAAATTTGAACGGTTTTTAAAAGTAAACAATTCTATATTAAAAATTCTACAGTTCACTGACAGTTTTTTTTTCTTTTGTGCATCAATGTGCGCTTCAAGCGCTTTGTCATCCCCAACTAATTTTTCTGTACTCAAGCGCTCATCTACATTTACATATTTAAATTCTTATCAGTACTCATAATCGTTTCTTAGTAAATGCTTTCAGTTTGTTTACTAGACATCGGTCAAAAAAAAAAAACNGGTTTTTAAAAGTAAACAATTCTATATTAAAAATTCTACAGTTCACTGACCGTTTTTTTTTCTTTTGTGCATCAATGTGCGCTTCAAGCGCTTAGTCATCCCCAACTAATTTTTCTGTACTCAAGCGCTCATCTACATTTACATATTTAAATTCTTATCAATACTCATAATCGTTTCTTAGTAAATGCTTTCAGTTTGTTTACCAGACATCGGTCAAAAAAAAAACCCCAACCAAATGTGAATTAGAAAAAAGAACACCACAAATAAATAGCTTGTGTTGATTTCCAAGTAATTATTACAAATACAAAGATTTATTTATGTGCAACACCATATTTCTTATGGCACACAAAGAAAAATCCAAAACTCCTGATTGTTGCAATAACGAATATAATGGTAATTCCAAACAAACAAAAAATCTTCGGTACAGTGCATTTTCAACGACGACAGGTTTCCTGGTGTGGCATAAATTATGCAACACACCAAAAAGCTGTACAACGGCAAAAAACACACCTCAAATACCGCAGACTGGCAAACCGAAATATATATATAAGAAAAATAAAAGCAGAGTATCAAGAAGGAGTGAATGGAAAATCACAGAAAAAACCACAGCAAACTAAAAGTGCACAAAAAGTGATCGCAATGCATATGTAATGTAAAGTTGGAGCTGCAATAACAATAAAACCGCACAGCACAAGAAAGATTAGCAAAATATATTTGTAATAAAATATGGAGTCTAAAATGTTATTTATGTGTACATATGTAAGTACATACATTAAACAAAAATTGCTCGACTATGGTGGTTTTTGGAAATGGAGCGATATAGTACATATTGCATAGAAATATATATTTTTTTAACTTTCGAGACAAGAAAATAAAATAAATTTAAATAATTTGGGTGTTCACACTTGATAACCAGGCAGGTTATCTGGTTCAAAATTATTATTCCGTAGTGTGTTTTATTGTTGTAAACTGAATAAAAAAATATAACCACAGCCAGGCAAGTGTGAACACCCACAATATTAAATTAAAATACAGTCATGTGAAAAATAATACTACCACGACATTTTGTCTAGCTTAACTTTTATTTACTTAATGTTTATTATTTCTGTATAAAAACCATTACATAAGTCCAAATTTCGGACTTTGTAGAAACGTTAGAAAAATTCAAACAAATTTTACAACATACTCCGTTTTAAGAATTCAAAATTCCAGCTTAATAAAGTGCAAGTTTATACAAAAAACATTGTCGAACGTACTTTGTAAGAAAAAAAAATTTGACACCGTCAGCAAAAAAAGATTACCAATGCGAATTCTTGTGATTGTGAAATTTTGTTGAATTTTTCTACAAAGTTTGAAATTTAGACTTACTATATGGTTTTTGTTAAATACCAGCAAAACTGTCGGTTTGTCTATCATTCGTTGTCGTTGAGCCCAACCATCGTTAGGCCCAGAAAACGAGCTGTTTCCACGGGGTTGGATCTGAGACAGAGGAGTGTTAGCTGAGTATTATTGAGCTGACTTGTGAAGAGGAGGTTGGTGTTATGGGGAGAGTCTCGAGATGCTGCGAACTCATATATGGAGGTCGAGTTTGGATTAGTAGCTGTTTAAGCCGCTACAATATCCTATCCGTAATTGGGATTGGACTCCGGTGACGGCACTCATAGGTCGAGAACTATGGTAGATGTCAATCGACTCTCTATGAATATATATATATATATATGGGCGAAGGCTCTTCCTCAAGCAAGGGACGTTGATTTCGTCGGGGAGAAGAGGGTTAGGCTCCGTGTAGTTCTTCTGTCATACGTCGCCAATGGGAGAAAAAATTATCGAACAAGTAGGAATGCCTTCAACGTGTGTAGCTAAGTCAATAACTAACGTTCGAAAAGCTAACGCTATCGGAAAAGCTACTTTCAAAAATCTACATTTTTTTGCTAATTATGTAAAGGTTATTCTCGCAAATAGTACACATAAAAATAAACAGAAATATGTAAAAGAAGAAAGACAAAAAATACTATTTAGGATAAAAGATGACCCCACGACCCCATAATCCACTATTTAAACCTTGGTAATACACAAATGAGATTTTCACTATTTAACAGCTCATAAATCATTTCAGAGCTTGAAATTTTCTATAAAAAGCAATATAAAAGTTTAAAAAATTAGTACACTCATAAAATATAGACATATTCATTCATTTAACGAACAAAAGGCGAATGACTGTCTGACAGCCGCCAAGTAAACCGCAACTGCACAAAACAACCAACATTCATGCCACATAGGCAAACATCAGGCAAGCAAAGAATAAAGCTATTGCTCAACTAGCTAACCATTAATCCATCCATCTAGCTGTCCCTCTGTCAGCCAGCCGTTGATGGTGAGTAAGTTTGCATGTAGCTTTTTATTTCAGTTTTCCGTTCACCAGCGCTTTTGTGCTTGCTTAGTTATTAAAAGTCAAGTCATCTCAAGGCCGAAAAATTATTGCACTTTTGTTTTGGTGGTGTTGTTAAAGTAACAAACGACTAAATAAATACAAAAAAAAAACAGTATAAGCTATCTCGTATAGTAAATCAACGTTTATGTATATGTATATGTATATGTATGTACATATGTTTTGGCTCCACCAGGTTAACGCCTGAGTCAGCGTCAGCGTGCACGTCCGCTACCACAAATGTCTAAAAGATCAACTCCAACGTCATCGTCACCATCGTCGCGCGCGGCACATTCACCGCATTTCGATTCAGGGCTGTATTTGTTCAATACCCTTGTGCGGCGCATGCAAACTGGTCCGGTTCGGGGCCATTAACGTACTTATAAAGATTTACAGTATCGATCATATAAATAGTACCCCCATTTCAAAGTGATATTATTTTAAAAATTTTCCATTAAAATACGGTTCATTCTCTAACAAAACCCAAGCTTTAAACTTTGTAGAAAACTAAAATTCTAAAGAAATTCAACAAATATTCATACAAATTTCAAACTTATTTCTCGGTGTAATAATACGCAAGTTTCAAGTGGCTGAAAATTGCCGTTGATTTTTTAGAATTTTTTCGCCATATAAAAATTAATAAACTATAAAACTGTATGCTTTTTGGAAAAAAGTTTAAAATTTGGATACAATTTTTATGGGTTTTGTTAGAGAATGTACCAGGGACGTGAACCGGATGAAAAATTTGGTCGGTTCGGTTCAGCGGATCGAACCGTTGTTGCACTTTTGGATTGGTTCGTCAAAGCGGGTTTTTTGGTCTTTGAACCGGGGTTTCGGTTCGGTTCAACGGTTCGAAAAAAAAACTAAAAAAATAACGCGCAAATTTAAATGTCAAGTGTCAAGTGTAACAACGCGCAAGGTTAAGGGTCAAGTGAGATGGGCTGCCTTTACATTTGATATTGTCACATGGTAAAAAAACATGGTAGGTATTACCCATGATCCAACTACACAAGATCTGACAAGATGAAGCAAAAGAAAAAAGTAATTTTCTGGCTGACGTTTGTAATTTCGGCGCCATGTTATTTTCTGTGAAAAGTAAACAAAGAATATGAAGACGAAGCATAAAGAAAAAATGCAAGCAATGTTGTGCACATGTTTGTGCTAACCAATTTATTATTTTTGTAAGTGTTTTTGCATCCAATCACCGCGCACTTCATTTTAATTACATTTGCACAAAAAATCACTGAAATAAACCACCTTCTTTTTAAATTATGATTATATGTATGTATATGTGTTTACAGCGATTCACTTGATCTGTACAAATTAAAATGTGGTGAGCTTCAAGTAGAAATATCCGCGTTGGAAAACAAAATCGCAGTGCTCGAGGCACAAACAAGCGAAACAAATTTGGAAAATAAGTCAAAATTACATCGCTACAACATGGAGAGCATATCGTCTGCAATGTGCATTTACTCCGCGGGACCGCGTTGCTACAAGCTATTACGGAAGATGAACTACCCATTTCCATCTCCTTCGACTTTGCGCAGATGGGCGTCAAAGCTTTGTGTTGAGCCCGGCTTGCAAGTACAAACTTTGGCGCACATGAAATCGATTGACTTACCGAACGAAGAAAAGTTGTGCGTATTGTCATTTGACGAAATGAAGGTGCGTGAAGAGTGGTCTTTTGACCGAAAAAATGACGTAATTTTAGCGCCAAAACGAATGGTTCAAGTGGGTATGGTGCGATCGTTGCGCGGCAATTGGAAGCAACCTATATTTTATAACTATGATTGCAAAATGACGAAAACTACCATTCGCCTCATACTAAGAGAGCTGTACACAATTGGGTACACCGTAATTGCTGCCGTAAGCGACTTAGGTCCCGACAACCAAAAGGTTTGGAGGTTGATGCAAGTAACCACACAACAACCTTACTTCAAGCATCCCTCAGATGAGAGCAAGTTAGTATTCGTTTTCGCCGACGTGCCACATTTAATAAAGCTGGTTCGGAACCACTTTGCTGATGATGGCTTTTTGATTAATTCTACTTTTGTCAACAAAGCAACCATAGAAGAGCTTATATCTCTATGTAATGCAGATTTAACAATACTGGCGAAAGTATCACTGGAGATGTTGAACGTGAAAGGCGCTGGTAAATAAAATTATGTCTTTTACGATAATATAAACATCGTTTTCTAAAAAAGAAAATGAGAGTATATAATATCGCAAAAACTCTTAAAAATATGTATA